TCTCGCCAAGCGGGGAGCCCGACGTCCAGGACCCTGGGATCATGACCTGAGCCGAGGGCAGACGCTTAACGACTGAGCCCCCCAGGGGCCCTCCCCACCTTCTTGCCACTCCTAACTGCTCTATGTTCGTCCTATTCCTCCTTATCACCATTTCGAAACCTTCTACCTTTTCTTGAAAGTACCATTTTTCAAAATTGTAGTCATTATGTTGACTAATATAGATTATTTGTGGTGGGTTTGTTTTTTTTTAAGATTTTATTTTTAAGTAATCTCTACACCCAACATGGGGCTCCAGCTCCCAATCCCAAGATCAAGAGTCGAGTGCTCCACTGACTTAGCCAGCCAGGTGCCCTTATTTGTGGTTCTCTGTGATCTGCAATTCTGTTTTCTATTGGAATGGATGATAAAGCACTACTTATTGGGGAAAAAAAGTGATCTTGATATAAAAGGAAAAACTGAGGTAACAGGAGTCAAAATACTCTTATTAAGGAATAACGTCTAGTGTACTGAAATTTATGAGGGTCTGTCTGTGTTTTTTTAAAGTGACTTAATTAATTCAAATAATTGCAAATAATGGGCAACTCAGTTTCAAAATTGGGTTGAGATCAGGATATTCTGGGGCCCATAGGTGTTGTTAGACATTGATCCCCCAGAAAGATAGGAACGTTGGTTCCCTGTTACTTATAGACCAGTTCTTTCTGCAGGAGAGAGCTACAGGACACCATGAACTGCACAGCATAACTGACAAGTGGGGGAGGGCAAGTGAATACAAACCTTCCACACAGGCAGAACACGTAGCACTAACTTTTGTTTCTAACATTTTAAAAGCTCTTATAAACAGAGAACAAAGTGGTGGTTGCCAGAGGGCAGGCGGGGAGAAGCCTCTAGCATGCTTTACTTTCCAAATGACCAGAACTATGTAACTAACCACGTTTACCTGCCTAGAAACAAATCTGAGACCCAACTACAGACCTGCACTGTCCTATAAGGTAGCCACTAGACGGCTATGGCTGTAAGTATGTTAGTTAATTAAATATAGGACATTTCCATTATCACAGGAAGTTCTATTGGACAGTACTGACATACTTACTCTTTTTTTTTTTTGCCTGGACTTATTTTCTGTTCTTACACTGTCTCTGCTCCCAGTATCTAGGTATATATGTATATTTTTATATTTATTTCTGACCATGCTATGCGATTTTGTTGTGAACTACCTTAATTCCTTTGTCAAACAATTCAGGGTATCAGGACTTGGAAAGATCTGTGTATATATTTAACCCTGTTGTTGCTGGGAGCTCAGCCTTAGTTTTTCAGAGTGCACTTAATTCATGTAACCCTCACAAGGGTCTATGAAATACCTATATTTTCCAGTTTCCCAAGAGGAAAGCGCGGCCAGGATAGATTTAGGGACTTGCGCAGGATTCGTAGTCGACGAGCAGAACCCCGGCCCCGAACGGCTCGCGTGGACCGAGTTGTCAGCCCACGTTCGAGCTGCCCCGACAGAACCACTGGCTCTGGCTCAGCCCCAGCCCCAGGCCTTTAAGACTACGCCGTGCACGTACACAGCACCTGCCGACTTACGCCTACGTTACAACTGAAACCATAAACACTTTTAAAATAAAATACACATTTAATTTTTTAAAACAGTCTTGTGTTTTGTTTATTTGAGGAAGCCCCTTCCCGGGAGAGCTCGCCGCGATCCCCGGCCAGCCAAGCCTCGGGACTGCCTGCTCCCCCTCCAGGCCCAGCGGAGCGAGGTAGGAGGCGCCCAGGCTGAGTCCCGGGTTTAGGCCTTGGGCCCGAGACCGCAGGGCAGGGCCCGGTCTCCCGCTGGCCACGTCTTCCAAGCTCCTGCCCAAAGGTTTTATAAAAGCAGGCCGCCACCCCCGTTCGCAGCCGCGCCGTACGCCTTACCTGCAGCTGGGTACAAAGCGCCAGCTCCCCGCGCAGTCGCCGTGCGGCTACCTAGCCTGCCGCTGAGGCGGACGCCGGCTCCGATTGGCCGAGGCGCGCGGGGGCGGGGACAGCGCCGGGGGGAAGTGAGGGGAGGGGCCCTGCCTCAGGCCCCCTAGTGGGAGAGCCCCGCCCCAGCCTCCAGGGCTGGCTTCGAACCGACTTGACTGACCAGAGACGCAGAGGGAGGAGGAGAAGGCCTTAGGCCCGGGTCCGGACGTGTGAGGCCTCCGCGCGGGGGCTGGGGGCCGGGGTGGAGGGGGGGGGGTCTCCCGTGTGCTCCGCCCCTCTTCTGGGCAGCGCTCCCACGTGAATCCGCTCGGTCCTTTTTGGGTCCAGATCGAAGAGGCAGCTAAGCATTTTTTGTTTTTTGTTTTCTTTTTCTGTCGGTGTGGTAACATACACATAACGTAAAAGTTACCGTCTTAATAATTTTAAGTGCACAGGTCAGGGATATCAATTACATTCGCATTGTTGTGCCATGATCACCACCATCCCTGCCCTGTGTTCGTTTTGTGAAACTCAAAACCCTCTGCTCATTAAACAATAACTCCCCCTTATGCCCTGGCAAAGTATGCTTTTTGTCTTTATGATTCCATTGCTCTTAAGTGCCTCCTGTAAGTGGAATCATACAGTATATGTCTTTTACGGCTAATTTCATTTAGCGTAAGGTCCTCAAAGTTCATCCGTATCACCTTATCGCAGAATTTCCTCCCTTTTTAAGGCTAAACATTTAAGTCTTGTCCATTCACCCATTGATGGGACACTTGAGTTGCTTCCACAGTTTAGCTATTGTGAATAATATTGCTATGAAAAGGGATGTACAAATACCCGAGACCCTGCTTTCGATTTTTTTATTTACATCGAAAAAAATATATAAGTATATATATATATATATATGAAGTATATACCCAGAAGTGGAATTGTTGGCTCATACGGTAATCCTATTTTAAATTATTTGAGGAACTACCCTACTGTTTTCCATAATGACTCTACCATTTTACATTTCCACCAATAATGTACAAGGGTTCCCATTTCTCCACATGCTCACAAACACTCATTTTCTGTTTTCTTGATGGTAACCGTCCTAATGGGTAGGAGATTGTATCTCATTATAGTTTTAATTTGCAAATAATATTGAACAACCTTTCGTGAGCATGTTGGCCATTTGCATCTCTTCTTTGGAGAAGTATCCAAGTCATTTTGAATCTGGTTGGTTGGTGTTGAGTTTTGGGAGTTTTCTATCTATTCTGGATATTAATCCTTTATTAGATATGTGATTTGCAAATATTTTCTCCCATTCTGTGAGTTGCCTTTTTACTCTCATGATAGTGTCTTCTGATACAAAGTATTTTAAAATTTTCATGGAGTCGATTTCTCTAATTTTCCTCTTGTTACCTGTGCCTTTAATGTTATATCAGAAATCATTGCCAAATCTGATATCACAAAAATCTGTCCTATTTTCTTCTAGAAATTTTATTGTTTTAGGTCTTATTTTGGTCCTTGACCCATTTTGAGTTAATGAGGATATCCAGTTTTCCCAGCACCATTTGTTGAACAGACTGTCCTTTCCCCATTGAATGGACTTGACATTCTTGTCAAAAATCATTTGACTATGTATGTGAGGGTTTATTTTCTGGGGTCCCTATTTTATTCCATTAGTTGATATATCTGTCTTTTTGCCAGTACCACACTGTTTTGATTGCCTATAGCTTTGTAATCAATTTTGAAATCAGGAAGTGTGAGTCCCCCTCCTCTCTTGTTCTTTTTCAAGATCGATTTTGCAATTCATGGTCCCTTGATATTCCATGAATTTTAGGATGAGTTTTGCTATTTCTGCAAAAAAAAAAAGTCATTGGAATTTTTGTTGGGACCGAATTGAATCTATATATTAGTTTGGGTGGTATTGACATTATAATGAGATTAAGTCTTCTAATACATGAACATGGGATGCATTTCCATTATTTATGTCTTCTTTAATTTCTTTCAGCAAGGTTTTATAGTTTTCATTGTGCAAGTTTTTCACCTCCTTAGTTAATTTCTAAGTATTATATTCTATTTAATGCTGTTGTAAAATTATTTTTGTCATTCTTTTCAGATTATTCATTGTTAGTGTATAGAAATGCAAGTGATTTTTGTGTGTTGACTTTATCCTGTTACCTTCCTGAATTCACTTATTAGTTCTAATAGTTTTCTGTAGGGTTTTTAAATTTTCTACATATTAGATCATATCATCCATGAACAGAGATAATTTTACTTCTTCTTTTCCAATTTGGGTTTTCATTTCTTTTTTGTGACCACATTGGGCTCTGTGCTGTGTGTAGGGTCTGCTTGGGATTCTCTCTCTCTCCCTCTGCTTCTCTCTCTCTCTAAAATAAATTTTTAAAAAGCTAAAAATAAATAAATAAATAAATAAATAAAAATAAAAGCATTGGCTAGATGTTCCAGTACTATGTTGAATAGAAGTGGTGAAAGTGGGCATCTTTGCCTTGCTCCTGATCTTACAAGAAAAGCTTTCAACCTTTCACCATTGAGTATGATGTTTGCTGTGAGTTTTTCGTATCTGACCTTTATGATGATGAGGTAGTTTCCTTCTATTCCCAGTTTTTATCATGAAAGGGTGTTGAATTTTGTCAGATGCTTTTCCTATATCAATTGAAGTGATCATGTAGTTTTTTTTCCCTTGGGTCTCTTGAGGTGGTACATTAAATTTATCAATTTTCATATTGAACCATCCTACTTGGTCATGGTGTATATCTTTTCAATATGCTGCTGAATTCTGTTTCCTAGTGCTTTGGTGAGTATTTTTTCATCAAGGCTAATAAAGGATATTCATCTGTATTTTCCTTTCTTATAGTGTCTATGTGTGTGGCTTTGGTATCAGGGTGATACAGGCCTCATAGAATGAGTCAGGAAGCATTCCCTCCTCTTCAATTTTTTGAAAAATTTGAGGATTGGTACTAGTCCTCTTTTAATGTTTTGTGGAATTCACCAAGTGAAGCCAGCAAGTCCAAGGTTTTTCTTTCTGTGGGGATTTTTGATACTGATTCAATCTCCTTACTAGTTATATGGATCTCTTCAGATTTTCTATTTCTCCATGATTTAGTCGTTAGCTTTTGTGTTTCTAAGAAAATGTACATTTCATCTAGGTTATCCAATTTGTTAGTGTACAATTGTTCTTAGTATTCTCTTATAGTCCTTTTTATTTCTGCAGAATAGATAGTAATGTCTCTACTTTCATTTCTGATTTTAGTAATTTGAGTCTTTTTATTTTTTTCCTTAGTTCATCCAGCTAAAGGTTTGTCAATTTTGCTGATGTTTTCAAAGAATAAACTTTTGGTATCATCCATTTTCTCTGTTATTTTTCTCTTCTCTCATTTATTTCTGCTCTAAGCTTTTATTATTTCCTTCTTTCTGCTAGCTTTGAGTTTATTTTGTTGTTCTTTTCTAGTTCCTTAGGTTGTAAAGTTAGGTTGCTGACTTGGAATCTTTTTTTATTTTTATTTATTTTTTATTTATTTATTAGAGAGAGAGAGAGAGCACAAGAAGAATAAGCAGGGAATTGGCAGGTAAAGGGAAAGGGAGAAGCAGGCTCCCCGCTGAGCAGGGAGCCAGATGTGGGGCTCAATCCCTGGATCCTGGGATCATGACCTAAGCCAAAGGCAGACGCTTAACGAACTGAGCCACCCAGGCGCCCCTCCTTCTTTTTTTAAATATAGTGTTTTTAGCTATAAATTTCCACCTTAGTACCATTTTTACTGTGTACCATAAATGTTGTCAGTTTTCTTTTTCATTAAACTTTAAGTATTTTCTAATTCCCCTTGTATCTTCTTCTTTAATCTACTGGGTATTTAAAACATGCACTGTTTAATTTCCACAATTTATGGATATTCCAGTTTTGTTTTTGTTATTGACTTCTAATTTCATCCCATTGTGGTCAGAGAAGATACTCTGTATGATATCTATCCTTTTAAAGATATTGAGACTTAATTTGTGACCTAACATGGTCTGGAAAATGTCCAATGTGCACCTGAGAAGAATGTGTAATCTGTTATTGTTGAGTTGAGTATTCTGTGTATGCCTTTTAGATCTAGTTGGTTTATTGTGTTCTTTAAATCCTCTATTTCATTATTTATATTCTGTCTTGTTGTCCTATCCTTTATTGTGAGTGGGGTATTAAAGTCTTCAACTATTATTGTAGAATTGTCTGTTTTTCCCTTCAATTCTTTCAGTTTTTGCTTCATATATTTTGATGGTCTGTCACTAGGTACATGAATGTTTATAATTATTATTTATTCTTGCTGTATTGAAACTTTCATTAATATATAATGTCCACCTCTGCCTCTTGTAAACTCTTCTGATTTAAAGTCTATTTTGTCTGATATTATCACAGCTACCTCTGCTTTCTTTTGATTACTATTTGCATAGAATATGTTTTTTCCGTCCATTTACTTTTGACCTGTTTGTGTCTTTAGTTCTTGTCTGAGTCTCCTGTAGAAAGTATGTGTTTTTATCCATTCTGCTAATCTCTGTCTTTTGATTGGAGAGCTTAATCCATTTACATTTAAAGTAATTACTGATGAGGAGCGACTTACTTCTGTCACTTACTATTTGTTTTCTACATGCCCAATAGCTTTTTTTGGTCCCTCATTTCCTATAACTACCTTCTTTTTTTAGTTGACTTTTTGTAGTGAAATGTTCAAATTCCATTCTCATTTCTTTTGTGTGTATTCTATAGCTATTTTCTTTGTAGTTACCATGGGAATTACATTTAACATCCTAAAATTATAACACTGTAATTTGAATTTCTATCAGCTTAACTTCAATAATGTACAAAAGCTATTCTTTACAGTTCTGTCCCCCCTTCCTTTTGGTTGCTGATGTCACAAAATTATTTCTTTATACTTTGTGTGCCCTAAAACATAAACTAATGATTTTTAAAATGCATCAGTCTCTTAAATTGTCTAGAAAATATGACTTAGACTTACAAACCAATGTTAGAGTAATAC